TACACAAAAATTGCAAAGGGTCAGTGAGATCTCAAAATGGACTAGAAAGTGGAATATAAAACTTAACGAGGTGAGATCAGTACACGTAAATTTCACTAATAGGAAAATTGACAATTCATTTTCGGTTCAAATAAATGTCGTCTTGATTTCGTCCGCAAACACGGCGAAGTATTTGGGAATGACGTTGGACGCGAAGCTCAGATGGAAGGAGCACATAAAGAAAAAGAGATCTTAACTAGAGGAGGAATACAGAAAGTTTGAATGGCTTTTGGGGAGGCGTTCTAAATTGACAATAAACAACAAAGTTTTGATATATAATCAAATATTTAAGCCTGTCTGGGCTTACGGCTCAGTTATGGGGCTGCGCTGCGCGGACTTATATCTAATTTATACAAAGATTTCAAAATAGAGTATTACGGGATATTGTAAACGCCCCTTAGTACGTCCGTAATGCCGATATACACAGGGATCTAACGATCCTAAGTGTCAAAGACGCGTTTATCCAATCATGTCAACATCGAGGCGGCTCGATTGGTTGACAATCAAAACTTTGTTATTAGACTTAAACATACGAGACCTCTCGAATTAGTTTAAAGTTTTTTATCTGGAACAAAGTACTTAGTACGCAATTGTGCCAGATGAAAAGCTTGTAAATAATCAAAAAAGTTAGAGCAAAATTAATGGTAAGTCGTTTCCGACTAGTTTTATAGTTTATTTTGAGGAGGGTGTTTTTTAGTGGATTAAAGTTCCACACTACTGCTTTTCGTCTGGCAGTGTCTTTCGAGATTTTCACCCTTTTTTTTTTTTCCTCTCGGTAAAAATTAAAACCGTTTCAGTTTTAAATAATCCATATAATTTAAATAATTTTAATACGTTTTACTATAAGAAGAGTTATTATAATGTAACGCATCGCTCAATAAGTCCGTAGGATGACATATGGAGATGGCGATACAAATACCGAATCCGTATAGTATTTAGAAAGTGACAACCTTCAAACGATATCTGTCAAAATTGCATGACTCAACGTCAATACAACTTTTAGTTTCGCAAAATAATGATATATTAGGTAGTAAATTTTTTGTAAGTTTAAAAGAAGTCATCCTCGAATTTGAATTAAGACTCCCTAATAAGTTATATATTTATATTATAGAACATTAAATATGAATATATTATAAAGATAACTACATGTAAATACAGAATCAAGTATTGTATTAAAAGAAGAAAATAGAAAAGCAAATGAAATAGATTTGTTTTTCAATAAATAATTTAAGTACCGTTACAAATATATATTATCTCAGTAAAACGTCGTTTTTCAAAATTTATTAAATGCAAAATAATGTTTGCGTGGCAATTTGTATTCGTGAGTTTTAATTTTAGCTTAAGTGTGTACTTAGGACAGTTCAATAAAAGGCTATACCCTTGAGAACATAATGCTACTCCAAAGCTGTTTAAACAAGATTCTACAAATGCAAGACCGAATTATGCAGATGTAAACTCGCACGAATACCTTGACATTTGCGACACACCAGGGAGCCTCTACCATAAACACAAGAGAACCAAAGACTGAGCAAAAACTAAAAAACATCTCCAAACTTTTTAGGAAAAAAACTTACTAACTAGCATTTTATTGCTGAAAATATATGCTAGTTTATTTAATTGGTTATTTCTGGCAATATTTATATGACATGTATAAGAAAAGCCTGCTCGATTTTTTCGATACCCAATTTACTTTTTACGTATCCACTAGGTATAGAACGGATTTGGAAAAGTGTACAATGTGTTATGGGCTAGGTACAAGTACTTAACATCTTATTATATTCAAAAAAATAAGTTTTATTTCCTATGAAAAATTTGATTTTAATATCAAAAGGAATTTTTCATACATACAAATTTTAATTTTACACAAATTGCTCTATTCTAGGTTCTAGGATAACGCAATTTAAAATTCCCATCCCTTATAACAATTTCAATAATACAACTTAAAATAGTGGTCAGATTTTATACCTCTTTTTCTTATACGGATTTTTTTTGGTTTAACAAAATAATTTTGTGTCCGTGCATACAACCTATATGTATATGTATACACAATGTTATTCATAAACATACACATTCATAGAAAAAAATGTGTACAGTCGCACATCGCATGATTTGCATGTTTACACATGAGTATGCTTGCACTTTATTGGGATTTGTAATTTTTTTTATTGTTTCTTTTTCGTCCTATTCTCTTCTTATACGCATAATGCAAATTGTTTATTTCATATACCCACACCCATAGACTCCTATGATGTACAAGCATCTTAATATTTTTGCGTATGTGTGTATCCAAAGTTTTTTGTTAAGAAAAAAGACTATTCATTTCTTTAGTCCATATATAAATTTCGTGCGGGAAGACTGTTATTCCCTAATTTAAATTTAGGGAATAATTATATTAATTTTTTGTGTTATTAGATAAAATGAAGATTTATAATTTATATTAACTAAATTTAGTCTTTTGTTCATAATATTTAGAATAAGACAGTGGTGAATTTGAAAAAATAGTACTAAAGTTTATTTAAAAAGAAAAAATGACTTAATAAATTAGTAAGATTCGGTGTACTTTTTAAAGTTTTTATTGTAATCATATTTAAATAAAATATAACAATATATTTGATAACATTCATATAAATAGGTGTTGTGTCATATAAAAGCATCGAGGGTGTTGCGTCGAAAGATGCAGAAGCAATAGTCTACGAGAAAAGGAGAACGTAAATGCTATATTTACATTTACTTTGCCAAAGAACGAGGGCATCGGGGATAAATGTTTACAAGAATTAGGAAAAGCGAATTCGACACCATCGAAGTATTTTTAATTTGTAAGAACTTTGAATTTTATTTTGTTGCCTGTGGCAAATATATTTAATCAATTACTTAGTAATGTTAAGATTCGAACAATTTAAATAAAAATGTAATTTAATCTTTCATAAAAGAAAATTAAAAAATTTTCTGAGTTTAGTTGAATATATTTTTGTCAAAAATTTACTAGTTTTAAGAAAAATTGATTAAAAATTTTATTTTTTTATGTAAATATGTTATGTAGTTTATTCAAAAACAATTTTGTTATGTATTTACTATTTTGGTTTTAGTTGAAAAATATTTTGTTACCTGTAATTTATTATAATGCAATTTGTTATCTGTGATAAGTACCTAGTTTCAAATTTAATTTGTTAATATTTAAACGAAATAAAATAATTTTTGCAAATTTTTTGTATTTAATCGTTTATTTTTCAAACATCCCAAATCACCATGAACATTTCAAATTTATTCGAAAATACGTCATATAAGAATTTATTTCTTAACAAAAAGTGTAATGACCAACTTTGAATACACCGTATGTAAGGTATCACCGTTTCAGGTTACAACACATGGCATTACTCAAGTTCAATCACGGTATAACCATCTCAGGTTACAACACATGCCTAACGAAATTATTTAAGTTTAAACATGTTAAATTTGTAATTGTTGAATAAGCAAATTGTATTTCAACACATTTTTTATGAAATAATTTCTTTCACAGCGAAATTGTTAATTCAATACCTTTTTGTTACGAAACTGTTTTCACATAAAATTTGTCATATTAACAAAAATACTTATATTCCCATAATGTTTAATAATTATTAGCAAGTAAGCAAAATTAAGTTATAAATAAGTTCATTTTAATGTAAAATTTTGAGTCGTAAGCTGATTCTTGACAAATAAATATTTTTTATTTTAAAACGGTTTTGTCTCCGTTAACTGGCGCCCGAGCTAAATTGAAACACGGTTATAATTATCCGGGAAAGCAATAAATTTTTTTTTGTGATAACATAAAAATAAAAAATAAAAAACGGTACTAAAATTAGAGTAAAAGAAAAGTCACCAATTTTGAACAATTGAACTTAATCTTAAAAACAGTGCCTCAAAAAATTAGCAATAATGATTGTTTGTGATCGATTTTGTGCAATTGTGCAGCAACAAGTCAGAAATTCAGCAGACTCATCGGGCAAAAGCCACGCATGCGAACCCACGCCATAGTCGTCTTAATATTGTAAGTTTAAAAATCTTAAAATCAATAATAAAAAGTAATAATAATAAGAAAATTACAAGTGAATTAAATAAAATCAAATAAAATAAATTTTTCAAATAACTAAGCCAAATCAAATAATAACTAAAATATTTTTAAATCAAATTAGTAATTAGAGTAAAAATTAGAGGCAGCGCAGATGCAGCCTTAATTTTCTATAACATTTTCGATGAAGACTGGTCGGAAATTAAACATTGCCTTTCTCTACACTACGCTGATAAAAGGGATCTACGCACCTTAGAACACCAGCTGAGTACATTAGCGCAGGGAAGATCGACCATTGACGAATTCTACGCAAAGGTAAATCATCAGTTCTCCTTCGTACCAGCTTTGAAAGCAATCCAAGGCAGGTTATTATATGGCGAATTGCATACGAGCCTCTGCAATACCCATTAATTTTCCCAAGAGCGATATCTGGGTGGTCACCTGATCTTAAAGATAAAAATGGAAAAAAAGTAACTCAAATAAAATATTATAGATATCAATTGCTTTCAGATTCCAGATTTGTGAAATTAAAGCGCTTAGCGCAAGAATATATTATTGATATGTATTGCACAGCGGAAGAAGAACGTTTGCAGTTTATAAAGCATCATCAGCCATCAACTCTTAGGATATCCACAAGACGAGAAATAGATGAGACAATTGCTGCTGGAACAAGCCTGTAGGGAAAATATATTTGCCAACTACTCACACACATAGTCCAAGATATATGTTGGTTAAGTACTTAACTTCAATGGCAGTAGTTTCGAGGTTGGGTAAACTAAGTTTTTTCTTGACGGTAACATGCAATCCCAATTGGACTGAAATTAAAAAAAGTCTATTACGAGAACAAAATGCCACAGATAGGCCCGATTTGTGTGTTCGAGTATTTCAACTGAAATTGTCAAAATTAATAAGTATGATAAGGAGTGGAAAATTATTTGGCAGCTTAATTTCCCTACAGTATGTTATAGAATTTCAGAAACGTGGGCTCCCCCATGCTCATATTGCATTTAGAGTAGCCGGAGGTGGTCCCGTTAATAGTTGTGATATAGATGCGTTTGTAAGAGCAACAATACCATCAGAAAAGGAAGCCGGTGGTCGTTTAAGAGAATTGGTACGACAACACATGGTACACGGTCCATGTGGCATCGACTATTTGGGATGCCCATGCATGGATAAAGAAAAGAAAATTTGTACCAAAAACTATACAAAACAACTTAACGACGTAACACACATTGATGACAAAGGAATGATCAATTATAAAAGACCAAATTCAGGAGATTTACTTACATTATCCAACGGAAAAACGGTTAATAATCAATGGATTGTCCCATACTGTCCCTCTGTACTACTCTTAATGAACTGTCACTGTAATTTGGAAATTGCCACAACAACTAAAGTTATTAAATATCTTTATAAATATTTGCACAAGGGACCTGATCATGCGTTAGCCTCTGTAATAGAAAACATGAACTCAGAAGATGAAATTGAAAATTATGTAAATTATAGATATATATCTTCATCTAAGGCTTTATGGCGCATTTTTGAATATGATTTGTGCCACTGTCATCCAGCGGTTGTACCACTTCCCATTCATTTGGAAAATGAACAATGCGTCATATTTCGAGCAGGAGAAGAATCAGATGCTGCAAGTAAAGCTTTTTCAAAACTGATGCTATATTTCGGGAGGCCAAGAACTCGTGAATTTGAAAGTTTAAGTTACCTTGACTTTTATGAACAATATAATGTGGAAACGAAAGATCGAAAAAATTCTTTGGTATCAGTAATCAGGCACTAAAATGGAAAACATTTTATTAGCAAGAGGCAGCGTCAATATTGTGTCGCACGAATTGCTTATGTATATCCAACTGCTGGAGAATTATACTTTTTACGCATGCTTATAAATAGAATTCCTTGCTACGGGTACGAAGATTTAAAAACAATTAATGGAGTTACATATGAAACATTCCAAGAAGTAGCAAAAATTCATGGCTTTCTTAATAATATAAATGAATATAAAGAAGCATTAGAGGAAGCACGTAATTTTAAAATGGCACCTGAATTACTCGAATTGTTCACAATAATAATTTTGAACGGGGGACCTGCCAGAGTATTGTGGGATGAATTTAAAACTTACCTATCTGAAGATTTCTCCTTAGGATTCACTCCAGACTTGGCGAATAACAAAGCTCTCTCTGAAATAAGTCGTATGCTCAGATGCCATGGCAGCTCTTTACAAAAAATGGGTTTGCCAGAAATAATTGATGATTCGTCTGAGTTAGGAAGGGAAAGATTACGCTGGTCACGTAAAAATTGCAAGAATTTTGTTAAGCAGTGGGAGCCCAAACTAAACGGTGATCAACTACAAATATATTTTGAAATAATTGACGTAGTGAAGAATCAGCCGGAAAATGGTCGCTCGATATTTATAGACGGCCCAGCTGGGACAGGTAAAACAATCTTACTTACCGTAATAACAGCGAAGCTTAGAAGTATGGGGAAGATTGTTCTTCCTACAGCCACAACCGGGATAGCAGCAATAAATCATGAAGGAGGTATTACAGCGCATTCTATGTTCAAACTTCCGCTCAATATACAAGATGATGCAATAACTTGGGGCGTTACAGTTTCAAGTGAGCGGGCGGAATTAATAAATGAAGCGGATCTTATAATTCTGGATGAAGCACCTATGGCGCATAAAAATTTAGTTCAATGCATTAATCTAGGCCTGCAAGACATTACACTAAAAAAAATTCCATTTGGAGGGAAAATAATTTTGTTAGCGGGGGATTTTCGACAAATTCCTCCAATTGTACCCGGGGCTTCCCCAAAAGAAATTATTTCGTCATCGTTGCGAAGTTCAGCATTATGGCAGAACTTTTCGATATTGACTTTGTTGCACTCAATGCGCGCAGTTCATGATGCAGAATTTTCTGTATTCATACGTAGACTTGGGGAGGGAAGAATTCCATCAGTAAAACAAAATGATGGAGTAGATCTTATAAAACTTCCAAATATTCCATTTGAGACATCCGTTGAGAAATTAATAAGCTTTGTATTTCCTAGAAATATAATTGAAAACTCCAATGAGTGCAGTAAACGAGCGATATTGTCTGGTACTAATGTCTGTATAGGGGAAATAAATAAGAAAGTATTAGAAGTATTGCCAGGAAATCTGTATCATCTATACAGTGTTGACTCTTCACTCCTTCCCCAAAGTACCGACCCAGCGCATCATTTAGGCCCGGAAATCTTAAATTCTGTTACACAACCAGGAGTGCCCGACCATGACTTAGTTTTAAAGAAAGGGGCGTTAATTATTCTTACAAGAACTTTAAACTTCTCTGAGGGATTAGTAAATGGAACCAAATTGATTGTAACTAAAGTTACCAAAATTTTATTGGAAGCCCAAAAACCTTATAGTAACATTAAACATTTAATACCCCGGATCAATTTCAAATTTTCCATAGGGTGCCAAGGTATGGAAATGATACGACGTCAATTTCCGATTAAATTACCTTATGCAATGACTATTAATAAATCACAAGGTCAAACACTTTCTCGCGTAGGAATTGATTTGAGAAATGATGTTTTTTCTCATGGGCAACTATACGTAGCATTGGGTCGAGCCAGAACTAGAGCTGAATTAATGGTTTTGATTCCCCCTGAGCGAATTATAAATGGTACAGCACATACTGTAAATATTGTGTATCAAACATTGGTACTGTAATCCCGTTATTTCACTGGTGCCCACTTTCAAAATGTAAGTTACGCATTTCCAATAGCTTTGTATGTGATTCAGTTTTTATGCTGTAGCTTAGGTTTAGACTTTCATCTCTTAATTATGCAGCTTTTATTTTGATAAACTCATGTCTTAAACTATATTCTTTTGTCATAAGCTCATTAATTTTGATATTATTAAAATTCGTTTAATGTAAGTAACGTGATGTGAATAAATATAAAATATAAAAAAAAGTGAATATTTAAAAAAAAATGAATAAACAAATAGACTAACTTTTTGTGGAGGAAAAATGTTTAATTAATGAGTAAGAAATGTATTATTAATTTAAGAACTTTAAATAAGAAATATAATATATTACGAAATTTAAGCCACGTACTTTTAATTGTAACATACGTTCTTAGTGAAATACGTGGTGTCTTAGTATTAGATCTATAACTTTTCAGATTTCGTTTACCTACCCCTTCTTAACGATTTGTAAACATTAACGGTAAAACCTGTCGAATTTGATGAAAGTTTTTTACGTACGAAAAGTTTAGTCAAATGAAGTTAAATGAAGTAAGTTAAATAATTTAAAAAACTATAATTGAATATTAAAAGTTGATAATAAATTGAATACTTCTAAGTTAATTTTAGTTTCTTTTATAAGATTAGTTTGTAGACAAGGAAATGTATTATAGGTTTAAGATTATTTATATTTATGAGAAACAAACAATAAAATTGGTTATTTGATTTATATTCTGTGTTCTTATTCGTGGGGATTTATGGTATATAGGCTTACTGAGGAAACTGACCATATAAAAAAATCAGTTAACGCGCCAAAAGCGATACCTCTATGGTGGTGTGGAAATTCGCAGGTTTTTCAATATTAATAATGGAAAGTTGTCAAATATAATCGAAAAGAAATGCTCATACTTAAAATTTGAAAAATTATTTACAAAAAATATTAGACCTTAAACAAAGCTAATCATTTATTTAATTATGTGCTCTTTTGTAATTAATTTTAAGAGTGTTTTAAGTTTTATGTTATTAAACATTATGAAAAAAAAACATATCTACATATATGTTCATATATTATTGGTTTATTTTGAACAAAAAAAGGAAGACGCATAACTATTTTCTAAAATCTCACATTTTCAAAAATTTTAAAGCAATAAAATATGTTTTTATAAGATTAGACTTTTGCAGAATAGAACATAATTTGAAAACTACAGACATAAAACTTGCAATGCTTGCAATGCAAGCACACACGACTAGTTTCATATACCCACACCCATAGACTCTTATAATGTACAAGACATCTTAATATTTTTGCGTATGTGTGTATCCAAAGTTTTTTGTTAAGAAAAAAGACTATTCATTTCTTTAGTCCATATATAAATTTCGTGCGGGAAGGCTGTGTCGCTAAGCGATAAAATAATTTATTTGTTGTTTAAAATTTAATTTTAATTTAAATTTAGGGAATAATTATATTAATTTTTTGTGTTATTAGATAAAATGAAGATTTATAATTTATATTAACTAAATTTAGTCTTTTGTTCATAATATTTAGAATAAGACAATGGTGAATTTGAAAAAATAGTACTAAAGTTTATTTAAAAAGAAAAAATGACTTAATAAATTAGTAAGATTCGGTGTACTTTTTAAAGTTTCTATTGTAATCATATTTAAATAAAATATAACAATATATTTGATAACATTCATATAAATAGGTGTTGTGTCATATAAAAGCATCGAGGGTGTTGCGTCGAAAGATGCAGAAGCAATAGTCTACGAGAAAAGGAGAACGTAAATGCTATATTTACATTTACTTTGCCAAAGAACGAGGGCATCGGGGATAAATGTTTACAAGAATTAGGAAAAGCGAATTCGACACCATCGAAGTATTTTTAATTTGTAAGAACTTTGAATTTTATTTTGTTGCCTGTGGCAAATATATTTAATCAATTACTTAGTAATGTTAAGATTCGAACAATTTAAATAAAAATGTAATTTAATCTTTCATAAAAGAAAATTAAAAAATTTTCTGAGTTTAGTTGAATATATTTTTGTCAAAAATTTACTAGTTTTAAGAAAAATTGATTAAAAATTTTATTTTTTTATGTAAATATGTTATGTAGTTTATTCAAAAACAATTTTGTTATGTATTTACTATTTTGGTTTTAGTTGAAAAATATTTTGTTACCTGTAATTTATTATAATGCAATTTGTTATCTGTGATAAGTACCTAGTTTCAAATTTAATTTGTTAATATTTAAACGAAATAAAATAATTTTTGCAAATTTTTTGTATTTAATCGTTTATTTTTCAAACATCCCAAATCACCATGAACATTTCAAATTTATTCGAAAATACGTCATATAAGAATTTATTTCTTAACAAAAAGTGTAATGACCAACTTTGAATACACCGTATGTAAGGTATCACCGTTTCAGGTTACAACACATGGCATTACTCAAGTTCAATCACGGTATAACCATCTCAGGTTACAACACATGCCTAACGAAATTATTTAAGTTTAAACATGTTAAATTTGTAATTGTTGAATAAGCAAATTGTATTTCAACACATTTTTTATGAAATAATTTCTTTCACAGCGAAATTGTTAATTCAATACCTTTTTGTTACGAAACTGTTTTCACATAAAATTTGTCATATTAACAAAAATACTTATATTCCCATAATGTTTAATAATTATTAGCAAGTAAGCAAAATTAAGTTATAAATAAGTTCATTTTAATGTAAAATTTTGAGTCGTAAGCTGATTCTTGACAAATAAATATTTTTTATTTTAAAACGGTTTTGTCTCCGTTAACTGGCGCCCGAGCTAAATTGAAACACGGTTATAATTATCCGGGAAAGCAATAAATTTTTTTTTGTGATAACATAAAAATAAAAAATAAAAAACGGTACTAAAATTAGAGTAAAAGAAAAGTCACCAATTTTGAACAATTGAACTTAATCTTAAAAACAGTGCCTCAAAAAATTAGCAATAATGATTGTTTGTGATCGATTTTGTGCAATTGTCCAGCAACAAGTCAGAAATTCAGCAGACTCATCGGGCAAAAGTCACGCATGCGAACCCACGCCATAGTCGTCATAATATTGTAAGTTTAAAAATCTTAAAATCAATAATAAAAAGTAATAATAATAAGAAAATTACAAGTGAATTAAATAAAATCAAATAAAATAAATTTTTCAAATAACTAAGCCAAATCAAATAATAATTAAAATATTTTTAAATCAAATTAGTAATTAGAGTAAAAATTAGAGGCAGCGCGGATGCAGCCTTAATTTTCTATAACATTTTCGATGAAGACTGGTCGGAAATTAAACATTGCCTTTCTCTACACTACGCTGATAAAAGGGATCTACGCACCTTAGAACACCAGCTGAGTACATTAGCGCAGGGAAGATCGACCATTGACGAATTCTACGCAAAGGTAAATCATCAGTTCTCTTTGATTATAAATAAAATAAAAACAAAAAAGCATTCGAGAGAAACAATCAATGCTCTAGTCGAAGCACAAAGAAACAGAACATTAGACATGTTCATTAGAGGTGTTAATGGAGAACTATCAAGATGCTTAATGCTACAAAAACCACAAACGCTCCCTAAAGCCTATTCAACATGCTTGGAAATGCAAAACTATAGCTACAGAAACTTTAATATATACAAAAGGAATAGCTACAACCCAGTGACAGTCCCAGTAAACAGGATGTCCTACAATAGAGCACATCAAGTTATTTCAACACCACCATAAGCTCAACCAACTTTCTATCAGCAGCAGGCGCAGCAAAAAGTACAACATATAATATGCCATCATCATACAGCAGCGATACCTCCGCCAACACCACCAAAACCCCTCCAGAAAATGGACGTGGATATATCAGTGCAAACGCGACAAGTAAATTACATGAATAGACCAACGAATAATCAAATGGAGCCACATAAAAGACCACTAAGTGTAAACTTCCACCAAGGTAACAAAATTCAAAGGCTTTTCAATGTAGAAACATTTAATGAAGATTCTGAAAGCATCGCCGAAGAATATGACTTCGAACATATAGGATTTCCATGAGGAATCAGGAAAAGAAGAAATTCAGGAAGTAAATTTTATGACGGACGCCTCTCCAGCGTTCCTTACATAGAATATAGAACCAAAGACAACAAAACATTGAAATTTCTCATCGATACAGGTGCAAACAAGAATTTCATTAAATCCGAAATTGCACCAAATGCTAAACCTAATCAGCCTTTCAACATCCGATCAGCTGGAGGAGATATTCGTATCACAAAGAAAATCGGAGGAAAATTTTTTCAAGCAGTAGGAAACAATACTTTTACAGAATTTTTTGTCCTCCCAGGGCTAAAAATATTTGATGGTATCATAGGCGACGACACGTTCAAAAAACTTAATGCAGTAATAGATAGAAAGAAATATAAAAATTCAGTCCAAATATAAAAATTCCACTAAAAACGAAAATATCAGCTTATGCAAACAATATCGAAATCAGAGCAGACCATCTTTCAGAAAAGAAAAAGACAAAACTTTAGCATTAGTAAACCAATACAAGGAATTATTCGGACCTATCAATGATTCGGAAATTATAAAAACAAACGTCGAAGCAGAAATAAAAACGACAACAGACGAAGCAATCTACGTAAAATCATACCCTTATCCAGTGGCTATGCGAACAGAAGTAGAAAAACAAATAAAAAAACTTCTAGAGCACGGCATAATACGACTTTGGAAAAGCCCGTGTAACGCATCTATTTGGATAGTGGAAAAGAAATTAGATTCGTCTGGAGAGAAAAAATACAGAATGGTCGTGGATTTTAAAAAACTAAACACAATAACTACAGCCGATACCTATCCTATTTCAGACATTTCTAACACGATTTCACGAACTCGATCTTCACAACACTCGATCTAACATCAGGATTCCACCGAATACGAATGAAAAAGGAAGATCTCAAAAAAACAGCG